GAAGGTAGAAAGGGAGAAAAAAACAATACTGACGTTTACTTGACGGAGAGTTACCAACGTTTAATGAAGGTAGAGAGAAGAAATCATTGACGTTTACTGGCGATGAACTACCAGCTTTCATTGAAGGTGGAGAGAAAATAAAATATCATAACACTGTCGTTCACTGACAATGAACTACCAACGTTCACTGAAGGTAGCAAAAATATAACAATCACCAAATTTCACTTAAGGTGACCTACCAACTTTCACGGAAGGTAGAAAGAGAAAATATCATAGCATCACCATTCAATGATGATAAACTACCAACATTCACTGAAGGTAGCAAAAAGATAACAATCATCAACTTTCATTGAAGGTGACCTACCAACTTTCACTGAAGGTAGAAAGAGAATATATCATAGCATCGCCGTTCACTAACGATGAACTACCAACATTCACTGAAGGTAGAAAAAAGATAATAAGCACCAACTTTCACTAAAGGTGAGCTACCAACTTTCACTGAAGGTAGAAAGAGAATATATCATAGCATCGCCATTCACTGACAATGAACTACCAATATTCACTGAAGGTAGCAAAAAGATAACAAGCACCAACTTTCACTGAAGGTAGAAAGAGAATATATCATAGCATCACCGTTCACTAATGATGAGCTACAAACATTCACTGAAGGTATCAAAAAGATAACAATCACCAACTTTCACTGAAGGTGACCTACCAACTTTCACTATAGGTAGAAAGAGAATATATCATAGCATCGCCGTTCACTGATGATGAACTACCAACGTTCCCTGAAGGTAGCAAAAAGATAACAAGCACCAACTTTCACTGAAGGTGACCTACCAACTTTTACTGAAGGTAGAAAGAGAATATATCATAGGATCTCCGTTCGCTGATGATGAACTACCAACGTTCACTGAAGGTAGCAAAAAGATGATAAGCACCAACTTTCACTAAAGGTTACCTACCAACTTTCACTGATGGTAGAAAGAGAATTAATCATAGCATCACCGTTCACTAATGATGAACTACCAACGTTCACTAAGGGTAGCAAAAATATAACAAGTTTTCCCCAAAATTCTGGCATTTCACCTAGAACGGGTCTCAACTTCTTCTTTAACCAAGGCATTCTGCCTGGAAAGGGTAATATATAAGTTGTCTCAAATAAAGAGACTACCAATTGCAAATATTTCACAATGAATTGTCTCTATGATATTGAAAGTCTTGCCATCCCCTGGTGTAATTTGACAATGACCTGCAAACTATCCACTCATAGATAAGATAGCAAAAAAAAAGTAACGTCGACTCTTACGCGGAAATACAAGTTTCCCAAATAATGAGACCTGCTACTTGTTGTTATGGAGGATTGTAAAAAAAATGACTTTCTGGGGAGAACAATATGGCTTCCAGGGGAAAGAAATATGACTTCCTTGGGAAATGCCAATATGTTCCTGCTGAGAAGATAAAGTCTTCTCGTGCAAAATAAATGTACATTCTCAAACCAATGCTCGAAGTATGTAGATATCATAAGTAATAATATTGCGAGGATCAAAGATTCAAACCAGAAATAAACTGGAATGAGACAGTCGTCTAAAATACATCCTTTGAGAAATAAACTCAAGAGGGAAATCCAAATCATCCAGATAAAGAGCTATGCAGGACGACAAGAGCAAAAATCTTCCACGAGGGATAATTCAGTGGGGAAATTGAAAGAACATACACTTTTTGCTTATGACTGACACTCTATTGGAGAGAGGAAAAAACAATTCTACAAAATAGGATAATACGTCCACAAAATAATGAATGTGAATGAGCAATGATTTGCCAAATTTAACTATGCATGATGTATGTATGAATGCATGAGTGCTATCGTGCATATGCTGACAAAACAGACATATAACACTGGGAGTAACCAGGCAAAACCAACTCGGGCATAAACAACACTCGGATAAATCACATCCAAGATGAACATTCCAAGAAAAAGTAAGCGCCAACTAAGGAAACAAAATCCTACTGCATGGCTTAACCTTACTAGGGAGAAATGTAATCCGGAACTAAACAAAACATAGCGACAAAATAATACAGATACAGTAATATAACATCCTTCTCCAGGCTTTACCAGGGAATAACACTAAGACTCCAACGGGGAAACAAATATTTTCAAATGTAACACTTCTACTGGGGATTGCAAAATCAATTTCAAGTAACGCAGATGGACACCAAATCATCAAAACATTCACTAGGGAATTCAGGCCCATTTTGAAGGAGGAAAACATACAAACTTTGCTAAACAATATAACGCCCCATCATCGAGACATTAATTGGGGATTTCGTGTTGACTTCATTGGGGAGGTCAACACCACATTCTCAAAGGGAAAACCAATATACGTTCTTTACTGGAGAAACCGGAGACATGTGTTCTTCGAGATTAATTATTGTACCAACTTCTCTGGGAAGAAAGAACTTCTATCAAACAAGCGAAACCTTCACTAGAGAAATCTTGGATTGAGTCTTCATATCATGCAAACTCAGAAAAGAAGAAAAATGAACCAAAACTTGATTGGGGACACTGGAGCCACAAACCCAATACAGCAAAAACATCCTGAGAAAAACTTCCACGGGAAAAAAAACTTCTCAAAACAACTGGAGTTCGTCTATTCTTGGGATCACCACTTTTGTTTTTCTCTTGCGTCACAAATTTTAAAGTAAAAGCAAATTGTAAATTCTTTTTGAAAATCAATTTTGTTATTTAATATTTTCGCTTTGACAGTTATTATTAATAATAAATGGAGTCTTTGCAAGCTAAATAAAATAAGAAATACAAAGAATTGGGTAAAAGCTCAAATTTCATTAATAGAATGGTAGTCTGCGAAGGGTGAGACTCTATGGATGATTACAAAGTTCGGAAAATGGTAATATATAATGGAAAAGATACATTGAGATACAATGACCACTATCCCCTCTAACAACTTTTGAAATCCTGAGCAGTAGCTTCCATTGAAGTATGGTAAGGATTCAAGAAGATTGTTGCTTCAACGATCAAGTCTTCTCTGATGTAGTTACTTGCCAAGAAAGTCCCCGACTTTTGCCTAAGCTGCCCTTGCGGGTTTTCAATTTAGCGGGAAATTTTATTTTATTTATGTCTCTAATTTTTGCCTAGACCGCCCTTTCGGGTTTTCGGCCTACCGAGACGCTCTTTTTTGCCTAAGTCACCTTTTTGGGTTTTCAACTTAGTGAGCTATTCTTTTATTTCTTTAGGCCAAGTATTTCTTCATTGCATCAGCATTCATGGGACGTGGGAACTCCTCGCCATCCATAGTTTCAAGAATTAATGCACCGCCAGAGAAGGCTTTCTTGACACATATGGGCCTTCAAAATTTGGAGTCCACTTTCCCCTAGAATCAGCGTTAAAAGACATGATCTTCCTGAGCACGAGGTCGCCTTCTCTAAATTCACGAGGTTTGACCTTCTTCTCAAAAGCTTTCTTCATTCTCTTCTGATATAACTGCCCATAACACAAAGTCCTCATTCTCTTCTCTTCAATCAAATTCAATTGGTCAAACCTGTTATGGACCCATTCAACCTCTGGAAACTTAGTTTTCATTATCACACGCAAAGAGAGAATCTCAACCCAATTGGGAGTACCGCTTCCATTCCATACACAAGGGATAACGGGGTTGCTACTGTTGAAGTGCTGACAGATATTCGATATCCATGCAAAGTAAAAGAGAGCATTTCATGCCAATCTTTATAAGTAACAACCATCTTCTGGATAATCTTCTTGATATTCTTATTAGTAGCTTCAACAACCCCATTCATCTTTGGCCTGTACAGAGATGAATTGTGATTCACAATCTTGAATTCCTCACAAAGTTTTTTCATCATCTTGTTGTTCAAATTCGAGCCATTGTCAATGATAATTTTTCTTGGCACACCATACCGACAAATGAGATTATTCTTAATGAAGCGCACAACCACCTGCTTGGTGACGTTAGCACACTACAAGAAAAATGATAGATTGGGACGGTTATTTTGGCTGATTACGACGGTTAAAACCGTCGCAATTTACAATCTACGACGGTAGAAGTACCGTCGCAGAATCGTGCGTCCCCAGCCTATTTCGCGACGGTTGCAAAAACTGTCACGCACAACAGATAGCGACGGTTATATACCGTCGTGAATTTGACTTTATTTTTTGTTTTTGTTGTTGTTTGCGACGGTTATTCTACTGCCGTAGGTTAGAAATTGCGGCGGTTTTAACCGTCGTAATCTGATTTATAAATTTAAAATAATATTTTTATTTAAATTATTATTTAGTAAAATAATTTTAAATATAATATTATTTTACTATAATATTTTACTATTATATTTAAATTATTATTTACTTTAATATTTTTTTATTTATAGTATTTTTATTTTATTTTCTATCACTTTTCAACATAATAAAGTTAATTACAATAAAAACATTTAATATCAAATAATCATCAATAATATCAAATAATCATCAATAATATCAAAAAAATGTGATCAAAGGTAAAAAGAAGTGCAAATTTTACCAATAAACAAGAAAAATTCAAATATCATCAAAGGCCAAATTTCATTTTAATATTTACATTGGTTTGCTACAACTTGAGAGAATTACAAAAAATGTTACAATATTCTACAAAATTCATGAAAGTCCTTAGTGTTAAGTGATTTTGTGTTAAACTTCCATGCTAGGACCATGATCCTTCCTTGACTACCATTTGGTCCAAGCTACGCATACCTAGCAGCCTGCCAGATTCACACAAAACATAGGCAATATCTTAGGGCAAGTTTAAACAAACTTCTAACTTCTAGAAACTTTTCAACTGAGTTATGTATTCAGCTCCTAATTTCTTTCACAATATAAAGGTTTCACATGTCTTAACTTAATCGTGCTTTAACTCAAGCTTCTGCACTCCAATGTGGCTTCACATATTCATCAACTTCATGATAAGCGCCGTGAAACAAAAATCCATGAATCATGCCATGAACAAAACCTGCATAAGACCAAGACGTTGGGAAATATATAGCTTTTGGTCTTGAAACTCCATTATCGAACTTTTTACAGATTGGATATTCTTTTCCTTCGCAGACGTGAGTAGAATGTCAGTTTTGTCATAGATATTAGGATTTTCAGCAACTGATTTTTCAGGGACACTTTCATTATTTTCAACGAAAGTACATTGTGAATGATCCAATCCAATATCTTTCACCTTCATTTCAGAGTTTTTCTCCACTGTGTTCTCCAACAACATTTCATTAGGGAAATTGTTCCTATAAAACTCAACCTTCGCTTCCAAGTCTTCTATCTCCTTCTCCTTCTCAGCAAGAAGGTCGTTAGCATTTTGCAAAGCTTCCATTTCATATTCTGATTGCTCATCCATCATCCTTAAGTGCTGCAAGGCTTCCATATGTAATGTTGCCTTTTCTTCCTGCAGTCTAGTGATCATGGCTAAAGCTTGACTTGCAGCAATTGCAGAAGCATTTCTTTCTTCCTCCAGCTCTTTATACAAAGCATTCATAAGTTTCCTGTCATGATCAACTTGTCTTTTAAGCTTGTCAACCGGACTTTCACCTTCAATTTCACCGACAATGCTTCCATCCAGAGACAAACCAGACTCATTCCGCTCAAGCGAAATCATTTTTTGAAGTATTTGCATTCCAGTTGAGTTGGAAACATCAGAACTCTTTGCTTCTTCGCTATTTATAGACAACCTAGGACTTATATCATTAAAAGACATATCAGTCCCACGAGTGGCAGAGAATTGTGACATTAATATCTTCAAATCTTCATTAACTCTTGATGAATCTTTCCAGAGCCAATGTTCTGCAAGCATGCCAGACAACTGTCTTCCTCTATTACCGACAGCTAGCTTATAAGCATCCCCAAGATCAAGTGAATTCAGATTTTGTTGACCAATATCACTAGAAACAAGGCTTGATTCTAAACCTCCTTCAGATGCTATTAGCTTATTGCCTGAATTAATATGTTCTTCACTGTCCACAGTGGGTCCTTGCTCAGATGTTAATCCCTCTTCATCGTTTCTAAAATCATCTGTACGAGAAACAATAGCATTATGATTATATTTCAACTAAAAAATGCAGAAAAGGTTTGGTTAAATAAGTATAAAACTAATGCACTTATGGACTCGAAATAGTAAAATTTAAAATGTTCAGCTATATAAAAGGCCCTAGGCATTTTTCGCCCTACATCTATAAAATATGATTTGGGCATCAAAAACTAGATTATTTAATTTCATCAACTTTCAGCGATGAATTATAACACATACCTCTATCTTCAAATCCAAGCATCAAAGAAATGCAATCACAAAAAAATAACTTACCATTTTCCTTTGATACTTCGACAGGCACTCCGATTTTACTCGATAATGTAGGAACATCATTGAAGGGAGTAGCCTCACTCGGGGAGGGACAAACAGCACTTCTTTCAATCTTCTGCCATTTAAGTTCTGTCAAACCGTTCCCACTTTCCACTGCTGCTGCTGCTGCTACAGTTTTGATACCATCAACATGTATATTTTCTACTAGAGGTTCAACATTAGACTTAACCTTTAACAATCCTTCCTTTAACAATTCAAAAGCTAACTATTTATGCCAGCACATTAAATAAGAAAATATAAAAATCAGAAGGAATCAAGTCTATAAGAGGAAAGGATTAAAATACATTTCCTTGACAGCTTATGACAACTTACCATAACCACCTACAACTGAACTCAATTAACTCTTTCTTAGGAGTGATAACGGAAATTCCTAAACTAACCCTAACAAGCTTCAACTAACTTTATAACTGTTTCTCACTCTCAGATTTATTCTTCACCTCTGATTCCTAACTGACGCTCACAATCTAATGCCCTAAAGGAATCTCTTATAACTGACTCAAAATTGCATCAACTATATATAGCTTCCTCTCATCTCAGATCATGCTCTCTCACCATTTCCCAAATTTTCACATGCATCATTTTCACCTTCATTCTAAAACTTCATGTTCATCCTCATCATCCTCTCATCTACATTATCTTCATCCTCACTCCAAACCTCTCCTTGCATCATTCTCTCTACTCTCTAAAAATCATAACACCAACACATTACTGCTTCATCACTAAACATCAACGTAACACAAAACAACATCAAGACGCATAATAATAAAAGTGTTTTGTTGTAGAATCTCTGCATAACAAATATGCATGTAGAAACTTCACTATAAGACATATTTGGCTGGCTGCAAATAGAACTTATTTCTGCAAACAATGAACACACGGCAACACAGATGAAACAATCACATTTCCACGCATAATGAAGTTGCTCAACAAAAATTGAAAGAAATAATGTTACCTCAACAAAAGGGCGGAGTGGCTCAGGAAAATAACATGCAATAACAGCAACAGCTGCTTCTCTATATGCCAATCTCAGTCTCAGTTCTTCAGGAATTTCTGTAGTGTCCTCTTGCCCTGTTTCAAATGTTCCTTTTTGCTGCAAATCCATAAGTTTCATTAGATGGTGTAAAAATGCATTAAACATATCATAAGAAATTGCTGAGTCAGAAAGAAGCTGAGAAATCACAAACCCTTTTTAATGCCTCAAGCAACTCGTCACGCCCAATATAATCCAAATCCTTCCTGGCCGTTAAAATTCCAGCTTCGTTCCTGTCATTTATTCGTGATCTGTCAGTCTATATTCTGATGATGGATTGATGCAGAAACTTCTATCAAAGATTATTTACAGTATATTCTGCAGCTCTGCCCCAGTAAAATCTTCTGTTAGCTCTGCAATTTCGTTAAGCAGAGTATCTTTTTCTTCTTCTGAGCGAAAATACTTATTCATAGCATGCACCTAGTTTGCAGTATGCACCAAAAAGAATAGGAAAAAAGAAATTTAAAATATTGAAATACTATAGACTGATCCCAGTAAATCAAGGTTTTGGAGGTAAAATACCTTCAAAATGGCAAGTCTTCCATCTCTTAAAGGCAAACCAACTCTAATGATCTTGTCGAAACGACCCTTCCTCAAAAGAGCAGGATCAATAATATCCAATCTATTTGTAGCACCTATCACAAGCACCTGAAATTCAAATTCAGTATATCAAATAACATATTTGTGATCTTGGAATTTAATTAAAGCTTACCTGTGCTGTGGAAACTTTGAATCCGTCCATCTCAGTCAGTATCTGAAGTAATCCTTGTTCCCTTTCAGCACCTCCCTATGTAATTTATGGACAATGAGAGTTTAATTGGACAGAAAAAAGTGACCACCAACAACACCATTATTTTATAGGACACCTCACTTGTCAATGTTGATTATTGTCAGTTAGAGATAAAACACTGACATCAGTTCTAGAACAATTGAGATTTCAAAATTAATAATGTAGTTTAGTTCTATAATGTGGATGAGGAAGTGGTTAACTTTATCTTCAGGACCTTTGACAATAATGGAATAAAGTTTAATAACTTGGGTGAAAGCAATATAAAGCAAAAACTGTTCATATGCATCAATTTCTAGATGAAAACCTTTATCTTCTCTATAACCCTAATTTTCATCAAGCAAAGTTACATTAAGATAAAATCATAGCTAACACAATAAGGGTTTTTGCTTCTGAATTGAATCATAGAAAAAAGAAACATAACCTGTTTGATAGCACTGGAAACAGAGAGAGTGGTGCTTTGATTGAGGCATTCAACACCAATCCAATCTATGAAGCCTAAGAGATCAACCTAATCAAGAGTATATGAACTAGGTTAGAACTTGTGTACCCTAAATCAAATAAGATAAACTTGACGATGATCATAATAGTGAATGATAGAGTTTGAATCTTACTTGACCCTTGTGAATAGCGGTGGCGGATTCTCCAGACATTGCTGCTGATTTGTGCGACACGGAATACCTTCTTTGTGCGACTTCAAAGAGAGATCTTCCCCTTTGCTTAGCAATCGAAGGAGGCCAGTACGAAGACCTCTAGAGGACATTTGATGCTTTCGATTGGATATCTCAGATCTGACACGTAGTCGTCTTTATGTACAAAGGAGTTTGTGATTCTGAAAAGAAAAGGAAATTGCGGTAGAATTTGAGAATCTTAGCGCGTGAATTGAAAGAACGTTACGAAAGGTTGAGAACGATCATAAATCTGAGCGGGGTCGGTTCTTAAACCGTCGTGGGATATGATACGTTCCAGCCAAAGGGACGGTGAAAGGAACCGTCGTGGGATATGCTATAATTCTATTTTTTATTGAATATATATTGACATTACTATTATATTATTTAAATACTACTAATATTAATATAGTTACTATTATATTATATAACTACTATTAATATAATTAATAGTTAGTAAGTAATATTATAATACTAATATTATAATTAATTAATTACTATTATTATATTTAATTAATAAAAGTGAAAAGATGGAAAAATAAAATAAATGGAAAAAGTGAGAAAATAAAATAATAACAAAATAATAATTATGATTGGTCAAAGTAGTCACGACAATCTGTTATACTGGTCGCGAGTGTGGAAAGAGGGCAGTTCTTTGGCAACTGTCTCAATTATGTTACTCAATATGCTTAAAAATCTACGACGGTTGGCTCTAACTGTCGTGACAACTGTCGCAGTCCAAGAATAAGGACAGATTTATGGGAACCGTCGCAACTCATGTGTCGTAAAACTCATTTTTTCTTGTAGTGGCATATGAAGCAGCTTCCACCCATTTGGTGAAGTAATCAATTGCTACCAAGATGAAACGGTGTCCATTCGAAGCTTTGGGTTCTATCATCCCAATCATGTCAATACCCCACATAGAGAAAGGCCATGGGGAAGAGATCACATTAAGAAGTGTCATAGGCAAATGAACCTTGTCCGCATAAATCTGGCATTTATAACACTTCTTTGCAAATTTGTAACAGTCGGATTCCATTGTCAGCCAATAGTAACCTGCCTTTAGCATCTTTTTAGCCATTGAATGTCCATTAGCATGTGTTCCAAATGAGCCTTCATGAACCTCATGCATCAACATGTCTGCTTCGTGTCTATCCACGCATCTGAGCAAGACCATGTCATGATTTCTCTTGTACAACACATTTTCACTGAGGAAGAAGCTGCCAGCCAATCTTCTCAATGCCTTTCTATCTTTATTCGATGCACCAATCAGATATTCCTGAGCTTGGAGAAAATGCTTGATATCATAATACCAAGGTTTGTCATCTGCCACCTCTTCTGTTGTAAACACATAAGCGGGCCTATCCAGTCTCCGGACCATAATTCGAGGTATATCATTCCAAGTATTCACTTAATACATAGAAGTCGGAGTTGCCAGAGCATCCACCATTTGATTTTCATCTCTAGGAATGTGATGGAATTAAACTTTATTAAAGAAGGGTAACAACCTTCTAGCATAATCTTTATAAGGGATCAAGCCGGGGTGACAAGTATCCCACTCTCCTTTAATCTGATTTATTACCAAAACTGAATCACCATACACATCTAGAATTTTAACTCTGAGATTAATAGCTTCCTCGAGACCCATGATGCAAGCCTCCTATTCTGCCATATTATTAGTACAATCAAATGTCAACCTTGCAGTAAAAGGAATGTGTGATCCATGTGGAGTGACAATCACAACACCAATTCCTTTACCATTAGCATTCACAACTCCATCAAATATCATACTCCAACTAGATTCAGGATCAAGACCTTCCTCAGGCAACGGTTCATCACAATCTTTCACTTTTAGAAACATCACATCCTCATCGGGAAAGTCATACTTGACAGATTGGTGATCATCAACTGGTTGGTGAGCAAGGTAATCTGCCAACATGTTTCTTTTAATAGCTTTTTGAGTATCGTATTTGATGTCATATTCAGATAACAACATCTTCCAGCGGGCAAATCTCCCAGTAAAGCAGGCTTTTCAAAAATGTACTTAATTGGATCCATTTTGGAGATCAACCAAGTAGTGTGATTCAACATATACTCCCGTAAACATTTTTCCACCCAGGCCAGTGCACAACATGTCTTTTCCATCATGGAATACTGTGACTCACAATCAGTAAACTTTTTACTGAGATAATAAATGGAATACTCTTTCTTCCTTGTTTCATCTTGTTGTCCCAGAATACAACCCATGGAATTATCTAACACTGTCAGATACATAATCAACAATCTTCCTTCAACATGAGGGAGCAAGATAGGAGGTTCAAGCAGATATCCTTTAATACTTTCAAATGACCTTTGGCAGTCATCTATTCACACACAACCTTGATTTTTCTTTAACAACTTAAAGATCGGTTCACACGTTGCAGTCATGTGAGAAATGAATCTGGAAATATAATTCAAATGCCCAAGAAACCCTCTGACTTGTTTTTCAGTTCTTGGCGCTGGCATTTCTTGAATTGCTTTGACTTTGTCAGAGTCAACTTCAATTCTTTTCTGGCTAACAATGAATCTTAACAATTTCCCTGATCAAACACTGAAGGTACATTTATTTGGATTCAAGCGGAGACGATACTTCCTCAAACACTGAAATAACTTCAACAAATCTTCTACATGCCCTTCTTCAGTCTGGGATTTAGCAAATATATCATCAACATATAGCTCAATTTCCTTGTGCATCAGATCATGGAATAGGGTTGTCATAGCCCTTTGGTACGTTGCACCAACGTTCTTCAACCTGAAGGGCATCACTCTGTAACAAAATGTTCCCTAGGGT